TCACAAATAACCTTCTCCAGTGTCTTTCGATTGTTGGTACTGACTCCACGGGCAACCCGACGACCTTTTCAGGATCCAATGCTGGTGGGAATAACCAAGCACAGTTGCACCTTGGCGTCCTGCGCGCCCTCTTTTTTTTCTGTAACTGTGTGCGTGAATCCTGTTTTCACCGACGTCCGGAGTTTTTTTGACATTTCTCTAGATTTGCTTCGCTTTGTGTACCTGTACCATAGCGATATCCCATGTCTCGTAACCGATGCCAACCTCCTCCTGCGCCGCATTATCACGAATGGCAACAGCGGCAGCGACTTCCTCGGTTCCGACAAACTCCTTGCCATTATTCGGGCGGTTGCAGAGGATGCTATTCCGTCCCTTCGTGTAGCCAATAAGGCGGGCCCCTCGATCCCTCCACTACCACATGAGATGAGGAGTGGGTTCTACACTGCCTTTATGTCTCTTGTGGAAGCACGCGATCACGCGGGGTACAACGTGGAAAATGTGGTGTCCAAGCTCGCCACACAAATGATCTCGCAGGAATGCCTTTTCGAAAATCCAGCGCAGACCCTGATGGACCTCATTGCACTCTCCCGTGGTATACAACAGCCGGCTACACTTTTGGTCATGCTTGAAAGAGTGTTGGATAATAAGAGCGAATTGATGCGTGTAATGGACAGAGACACAAACTGTGCGACGCTTGTCGCGCGCTGGTTGGTGGCGTTGTGTACGTTGGCTCAACACTTGTTGCGTGATAGCCCGATTAACGAGTTGCATTGGTGTCTTAGTAGTTATGTCATGCGGGCTCTGAACCACTTTTTTGACCTCGTGTCCTTTCCTTCCCCTTTGGTGCAGCAGGAAGATTTCGGGGAACAATGCGGCCCCAACGGCGAAGAATCCCTTTCTCAGTCAAATCCCACGATGCTGCTGGATTTTGACCCTGATCGCGTTGAGGCAACCGTGGTGTACGACCTTTCGGAGTTCCTCTACTGCATGTGCTGCGCCCCATGGAGCAACCTTGGAATTATGTATCACTACGAACGACTCACAGTGGAGAAGTTCTTTAGTGGTTCTGTGCAGTTCTTTACTTTTCTTCCTGTCGACATGCTCATGTCTAGTGAAGTTGGGAGGGATCAGGTGTTCAGAGTCATGTTCGTTGCCCTCGCTACCGGCGGCCCCGTCTTCGAACAGCTACATCAACTTCTTGTACGGCTAAATTTATGGGACCGGATTCTTCGCTACTTGACTAAGTGCCTTGCCTATTTTTATCTTCCGGTGATCCTCGATCTGATGTTCTTAATCGTGCACAAAGGGACCGCTCAGAGTTGTGATGATAGTATGAGCGAGTGCGATAAGAGCCACAGGGATGCCATGGCGGGATCACCACCGTTATCTTTCTACACAGGGTTAACTGAACGGACCCTTGGCCTGGTCCTTCGTGAGGTAGTTGTACTTGTGGCAGTGTCTCCCCATTTAGAGAAAAGTGAATGCATTCATGCATTTTTCTTGATTGAGAAATGCTTTCGGTGTGCTCGTGCATTGTGCATGGACCACTTCGTTCGTCTTCTTGATATGTGTTCTGCCTATCATAGAGTTCGCATTCGACACATAATGAACAATCTCCAAGAGGGGCATAATTTCGCTACCTTAATGAATCTATACTTAAGGTGCTTTGGACAATCCTCTAAGGTATCCATACTGGCAGCATGGTGAAGGATGTGCGAAATAGTATTTAGATGCATGCTTTTTTTTCATGAATAAAGAATAATGAGGATGACAGTGGGTCGATATGCTTCGGATATGTTCCCTGCATTTGATCCTTAGCTTTTTCCCACTGTTAAAGATACTGAATCGCGATAGTGGTGATAAGTATTACTGTTAATTTTTCTTTATTCATTTTTGTATTCAACCACATACAACCCTTCGGGATCTGTTGAGATCATTCTGTGAAAGGCCCACATTATCTCATCCTGGAAATCTTAGTCTTTTTATCTGTCAAGGAAAATATTTAAGACAATTTCGGGGTACGGAGCTGATATGTGTAGAACGCATTGGAGAACAGGATGCATACCATTGCACCACATTTCAATGTATTTCATCAACTAACTTATTCTGGAGTTCTCACCACTTCTTGTCTTTTTCGCCATGTGTTTTTGAGAAAAATAAGTTTTCGATATGATACGAAAATACCTTGTGCGAATACAATTATGTTTGCTGCTATTACTTCACCTTAGTGCTTACATATCGAAGTGATCATCACATTCACACGTCGGCTTGTTAGTTGTTTGTCTATGAATTTGTAACACGAGAGAAATCGGATCATGTGTTTTGATTCGTGCACACAGGATAACAGTGAATAACATGGTTCACTTTAACTTTTTATTTATGCTTGCGTGGTAATTTATCTCCTGGTAATCTGGCAAGTCAGCACAAGCCATATCAGACCAGGTCGTGCCTTCATATCAAACACCTCGTCCTCGAGGTTTATCATTGATTTATCTTTTGCCTTACTTTAACACAAAAAAATGTGCGTGCTTGTCTCTTTAGGTCTGAAGTTATTGTTGTTCAGCATCGGGACCATTTGCAATTTATTCATCTATTATTTCATCATATTATAATATGAAATTAGGAGCATACAGTCAGATAATTAAAGCAAATATAAGCATCAAAGTCCAATCTGAAGAAGTGCAAAATATAATATGGCATCTTTCTTTGACAAGCCTTCGTTGACTCTTCTGAAGGGACAATCGCTAACTCCAATTTCTGAAGCTGAGGCCTTGGAAGGGAAGAAGTACATTCTTGTCTACTTTTCGGCTCATTGGTGCCCACCATGCCGTGTATTCACCCCCAAACTGCGTACTTTTTACGATAAATGCCACAAGGAAAAAAATTTTGAGGTTGTCTTCGTGTCTCTGGACAAGACCGTGGGGGGGATGCGGGCTTACATGGAAAGCGCCCATGGCAACTGGCTGGCATTGCCCCTTGATCAGGCTAAGGTGATTGAGAAGGAGTGGATGGAGAAGTACGACTTCCAGTCTATCCCCGCACTTTTCATCTTCGAGAACGCTCCAACTGAGGAGGGTGGTGAAGATAAAAAGGGGCGGAAGCTGGTGACACGGTATGGCCGGGATATGCTGGAGGGCGATCCAACCGGGGAAAACTTCCCTTGGCCGAACGGGGACGCAGAGATTCAGGAACATTACCGCGTATTGAAACGAAACCTCATATTTGTGACGCTCTTTTCGATTGCACTTGGACTTTGGTTGTTTCGATTATACGTAAATATCATGTCTAGAAACCTAAAAAAATAGGTAGTAAGAGGAGTGAAAATTGGCTATTAAAAGGGGAAAAGATGGAGTTATATAGTATAACTTACTTTTTTTTTTTCATTCGTTAATTCAGTATCGACTTATTCCTTTCTTAAAAAATCAGTGAGACATTCTCTTTTTCTTTCATTTAATGGTCCGAGTGGTGGCAGATACGATTACTTTGTCACTTGAAGTAAGCAGGTTATGCAGCAATTACTGCAGTGAACAGTGGTGCTTCTGCTGTGGTGAAGCATGGGGAAGGAAAACATCGTTTGGCTAACTTTTGGACTATCATTTTGTTTGTTCTGGTACTCACTAAGAGAGCCACCTTACAACACTCAAGATTCTCACGAGAAGCAATTTGCATTGGAAGTCTCTTTTGCTTCTTCACACGCACTCATTGAGACTATTAACAGCAGTGTGGAAGCTCATTTGGGCGAATTATACGCTTTTCATTGCATTCCATAAGGAAGGGCAAATTTGCAGGTTTATAGATTGATTGATTATCATTATGCATATATGAACCTACATGAGCGAGGTGATATTATAATCTAACTACACACAAATGGATTATGTGTGTCTCACTTAGAAAATTTTGTCGCGACTTCACTAACATATGGAATGAAATTATTTTTCACCTTTCTAAATTGCCAATACGAAATTTTATTTTGTTCCACATAAAAGGTTGATAAGCGAACAGAAAATATTAAGGCTAATCTTTTAGATAATATTAAGGTAATCCACAAATCTCAAACAGCGTAAGGAAATCATCATAAAATATTTTGCCACCATTTCCAACATAATTTGTCCCGTTTTTCAAGAGGAAAAGGGGTTTAGGAAGGCCCTCCTCCCTCTTTTTCTTCAACGTAAATCTGAACACATTAGTGCATGAGAGAAGAGTCACACGATTTCTACACTCCATCTTTTATAGTTTTTTAATTATTTGCGAAGAAGCGCATATAACTTCCCCTCTTAAAGGGGGTGGTTTTTCTCTTTATTCCCTCTACCCGTTTTAGGCTAGTATTGGAGCGCGGTTTTAGTTTAGCTCCATTGTATTTACGATAGGTAATTGTCGCATTCGTTTGTATTTGCTTTTCCTTTATTAATAAAATACATACGGGTGTGCCATTTATGGTTTGCCTCCATATTCGTTAACTAGTTAATTCTTATCAAAAGTGTTTCGCACTATAGACAGCATGTGGTCTGCTCAGGATGTTGCCACTGTCATCTGCATCCTCGGTGTTTCCATAATTCTTTCCCTTTGTTTATTTTATTTATTCATGCACATCCGGTCTTTACTTTCTGCTCGGCACATGCGGGCTTGTGAAAGGGCACGCGAAGTTGCCATAAGTGGAGCCGATGACGGTGGTGGTGGCAGATCCGTGAGGGAAGGCGAGGTGGAGCTGCAAAATGCCGAAGGGTTTGCGGCTGCAGGCAATGAAGAGGGCCAACGTGTTGAAATTGTTGGTGTTCCAATTGAAAATCGCGTTCGGCCGCGTGCGCGACTGCCTAGGGGTGTTGTTGTCGTGCCCCACGAAGATGAAGAGGTGTATATTGACTTTAGAAAGCTGCCTGAGATCCCTGAGGCGGAGCCGCCGCCACCGACCGAGGAAGAACTCCGCCGCATTATGGAGGAAAAAAGCCGTGTGGCGTCACCGGAGTTTTATGGTCGTTCTGAGTACATCGAGCATCATAGCTCTGCACGAAATACACCACAACATATCTACACCAATTCCTTTTCAATCAAACAGGGCAAACACGGAGCCAGCGCCGGGTTCTACGCGCCGAGCGTGAGCAGTTCGTGCAGCATGCAGAGTTTCTACGAACCCAAAGCTCCGTATGCGGTATCCCTGCAGAGTTTCCTAGAGCACTATCGTCACAGACAGCAGTCCGATAATCTATTTATGGGATCTTTCCGGGAGAGCGGTGATCGGCGCGGGAGTAGTCAAAATAATAGCCAGAACGTGGTCTACCCCGCGATGGAGAGCACCTCCGATGAGTTCGACGACAGTGGCTCCGACAAGGGGGGTTCCGTACGACGGGAGATCTGCGCTGTAACCTGCGAGAACGACGCCTCCCTGCAGTGGCAGCGAATCCGTGGGGAGTTGCAGCCAAACGGATGCCCCTCTCACCCTTACGGTACCGCCTCGGTGGCGCCGCGGAGCAGTAGCACCTTGTCGTCCAACGCATTCCAACCGAGCCGTGAGGTGCCGCGGGGGGGGTAACCCCCCGATCAGCCTCCGCGCGGAGCTGTTTAATTCGAGCCGAGCAGAAAACAACGACGGCGATCGCGGCGTTAGCCCTGCAGGGGGGGGGGCTGCCGGGCGAATCTCCCCATCGCCGTTGTCGACGCGTGGCATTCCCTAGATTTCTGCTGGAAGGCTCGAAAAGCAAACCGCCGGGGCTGGAGAGGCCCCTGCCGCAGCGAGCCCGCCTCCTGCTACGGCATCGAGCGGGGGTAGTCCTCCTCTCCGCGCGACGCCTCGTAAAGGATCCTCCCATCGCCCGGGAAGCCGTTTATCGTCTTCCGTTCCGAGCGCGTCATCTTTGGAGACGATCATCGCGCTCCGAGCGCAGAGCAGCGGCCGCGTTGGCGGTTCATAACGCGAAGGGAAAGAGAGGGGAACCTGCGACGGCTGCCACGCCCTCCGTGTTGATGAAATCCATAGCGGTATTCCTTTTCTGGGGTGCAACCTAAAAACGAGGCCTCGTTTATGAGGGCTCCAAGACGAAGTTATTGAGGTCGGCGACAGCGCTGCGTGAATGAAACGGAGGTGCTAAATTTGCTATCAATCTGCCTCCGAGGAGTATATCCCGAGTAGGACTTTTGGTGGACAATAAAAGGGTTAAACATGAACTAATTCTTTGTTTGCTTTCTTTCCGAATGTTTGTTCTTCCTTTACTATTCTTTCCTTTTTGCCTACTCATTTATATCCACATATTGGGCTGAACAGTTTTGTTTATTGTATGAAGCTCGAACTAAAGGCAACGTATTATAAAATACAAATTAAGGATGAAATTGTTGTCGAAAGTTTTCTAATCCTCTCACTTTTTACCTCTTATATGACACTTTCAGGCGCCATGGAGTGTGAAAGGATGAACATCGTTTAGAACGATGATAATATTTAATCAATCAGCATGTATTTTTCTTTACTAAGATGAAATGCATTTGTATATATGAACGAAAACGAAAGGAAATTAAAACCATCTTATATGCCATATAAGGCTATTCTAAAAAAATACGGGGTCACGTTAAAGAAGGCGGAAAAAAGTAAGGTTTCGCTTTTTGCTTTGTTCTAGTAAATGCTTATCTGATGATTCATCGGATTACTTTAATGTGAAGAAAATGGGAGATGGCGTATTGATGTAACAATATTTTGATGTTGTCCGGTTCAAGGTGGTCTTTCCGCGTTTGGGGTCTTTCTTTGATATTTTGGGGGATGCCTAGTTTTTAATCGCCTCTTCTTTGTGTTTCTTAGCATATTTTTTACGTTTCTATTATCATTGTATGTGTCTAGATTTGTAAATGTAAACTTGTAGAAGGGAAAAGTAAATGTTTTTAGTATTTTAGAATTTTTTCTTCAAATGAGTATAAATCAAGGGATCAATTATCTCTCTTATTCTGTAACACTGCTGTTGTTCGCATAAGAATGAAGATTATTATGCGTAAGAACTTCAGTACACAGCTTCGGGAACCTGTTGGCTTCTTGCACTAAGGTTATTTTCGTTTTACCTATGGAGTTGTTCGTGCTCTGTTTTTGTTTTCTGGTGAAAGGCTTTTCACTCTCTTTTCATGAACCGCTACGTGGACATACTGGAGCAATTCCTTTTCTTGTTGTTGCTTGAACTCTTTAAATGCTTTCTTTGAATTTGATTACAAATATATAAATGAAGACGACGATGTTTGCGATCGAAAAATTCTGCTCTCCCTTAAGCAGCGATACAAAAAATGATGCCGACAGGAGATGAAAATCCTGTAGTTTCTACTATGTCTGGGGGAGTTATGAACCATTCCTAAATCTTCTGGTGATTCTCTTGATATTATTCTCCCAAAGTTTACGTTAATTTGATAGTTTTGAGAAAGTATCTAGGACGATTTGAAGTACGATGGCCTTACACTGCATGTGCAGTTCCCCATTTCTCTCAGAGTAGCAAAACTGAAGACATGAAAACGAAATGGTGAGGCATTGGGGGGAGGCGAGGAATTTGGCACTAAGGAACGACTCAAAGAACCGCTGTTCTGGGGCAGTAGTAGCATCCAATACGCAAAAGCAGATCTATCGGAGGGAGGGGGGAGCTACTCGTAGTGAACTGCTTTTTGGATTCCTCCCTCTTGGTGGGTAAATCGCGCACCGCTCTGGTTTACCTCTATGACGGGGAGACCGCCCGGCAAGCTGCACCTCTCGTAGTGTGGGGCGAGCGCGCGGAACCAAACCCCTCAGGAGGCATTTGCCATGTCCCCGACAACCGCTCTTAGGGAAGTGCTATATCGATGAGAGAGGCTAAGGCGAGGGGAAGCTTTATTATCAGTGTGATGCGGTAGATATCAATTAGGGTTGTCCGCAGGGCATCGCGCGCCGCGGGCACTACGGCTCCTTTCTTATGGAATACTGGGATCTTATCCATACAATCATTCATACGCTACATGTTGAACTGGAAGTGCCAGTCACAGCTAAGATACGTGTATTTGACTGCCCAGACACCACTAACTCAACCTCGGTGGATGCACGTTCGGAGGTGAAATTCGATGAGTTGCTTACCCTCTATTCCGCTCAAATAATTCGTGATGCCGAGGCGCAGCTGCGGTGTGTGCACGGCCGCACACGTGTGATGAAATGACAAAACAGTGGCTTAGCCGATCTCGAGCTCGTCCGACGTATTCGCTTAGCGCTGGGTGGAACCATTCTCGTTATCTCCAACGGGAACGTAATCTGCTGTCAGGATGTGCTGAAGCACCTCGTGCAAACAGGATGTGAAGGGCACATGTGTACAGAACCGCTCCTTTGGGATCCGAAACTCTTTAGTGATCCAGATCACTCTGTTTTCTCTGGACGTCTTTATGGCGCCAACAAAAAAGCTCGTTTAGCTGCTCTGAATACTGCATTGGACTACATAAGCTGGTTGCGGCGTTATCCAGTTGATATAGACATGGTTAAAACACATCTTTTTAAGATGTGCTATCACAGCTATGAGTTGCACACATCCTTCCGTGATTTGATGTCTAATTTAAAGACTCGTCTGGATATGGCTCACGAAGATGGCATCAGCGCTATGGATGCTGTGCGGGAGATATGTGACCTTCCCGAGGAAAACATCCATGAAGGAGACGATGACGTATTTAGTAGTCAAGTAGAAGCCACTGAGGACCACCTACGAGCCCTTGTGAAAGTTGCGTTTTCGTGTGATGTAGAGGAAGAGCAGCCAAAAAAAGCTAAAAAAAGGCGGAGCCACGAACACAGCACATCGACGCTTTTGAAGAGGAAGGATATCTTGGGATTGACTTTCAAGCCAGTAATCTGCGCCTAAGGACCGGGTTCTAACTGAAGTAAGTCAAAACTATACAACATTTTTATCCCTTCCCATGGAACTTTTGAAAGTATTAGGTTGTGCTGGAATCGATGAAGTTAGGCTTTATTTTTGATCCACTTTTTTCTCTTAGTTTTATGGTTTTTAGACATTAATAATATTCATTATTTGATAGGGTTTAATACTGCTATTCAGTAGGAATTATTTTTTACTTTTTATATTTCTTTTCGGCGAAGATAGCATATACGCATAAATAATACATTATTTCACTTGTTCGCGTATTGAAGCTTCCTATATCCGCCTCTCAAAAATTCGACGTAGCAAAGGGTTGAAAACGCATTACTTTGCAAGTACAACAATGAATTTCTTAATAATTTCGACAAAACGTCTCAGTATTAGCCCTCTTCTGCACAAGCTAGTGTTTTTTATTATAATATTTAGTAGTTTAGCATTTGGTGCTAGTGTGGCGAACCCCGAACCAAGTGTCGGTGGAGTTCTCAAGTCCCCTTCTGCGGACCTCTCTGTGAGCTCCGCAGAAAAGTTTTCTAATGTTTATTTCGATCAGTTAGCAGTGCTTAACAATACATCCTGGAATACTTTAGGGAATCAGACAAAGTTCTTAGATAAATGCCTTGGAAAACCAATAGCATCGCTCAAAATTGGAGAGAACAAACCTATAGGCGAGTCGTCAGCGTCAGACCCAGTGGGCGTTCACGCACCTCCTTGCATAAATTTCATTCATGCAAACTCAAGAAAACGCACTGCAGTGTTACGCTCATCATCTGTGATCATAATGAAAAAGAAATCCCATATAGCGAACAATGAGGCATTACAGGCACACACAACAGTAGCCTCAAAAGATGTAGTGGAGCAAGCGCAAGCACAAAAAAACTTTATCTTCTGCTCGAGTATCAACAATGATATCGAAGAGACTGGACAGAGTATTTTAAGAAATTCCGTAATTGAGACCCCACAACTTTGCCCTATAACGCATCCGAATGCAAATATTAAACATAGTCTAAAGAAAAAAGATGACAAGTTTCCAATGAACTATGAAGTCCAACACAATAACAAGCAATATGGGCTGCCTACGGCTCCTATTGATGATGGAATCGAGAACATTATCGTTTCGAATGAATACAGAACTGTCATTCCCGTCACGCTGTACGGCACCGGTACCACGATCGTCTCTTTCAAAGCCCACAAGGATCACACTGTTAACGTAGTTCTTCAGCTTCGTGGGCACCGGTACGATCCCGTCGTGTCGGAGTACAACTGCGAAAACACGCGTATATCCGCCCAACTGCGCTCTGTATCCTCCTCGGATTATGCAGTAAATTGGACGGCCCCCCCTCAGTTCCCGACCGCGATGGCGAAAAATTCTGATCCCCACATCTTCAGAGCGCTTGACAACACACCTGCCGATCATAATCGCATCAGGGACAGTGTTAAAGATATGTTAGATTATAGCAAAGGCAAGGATAACTCTACCAAAGTCTACCAATTTGAGGAAAGCATTGATAATTTTGATGATTTCTATGAGGAAAGGCCAAATGGACTTTGGAGTTCTTTCGCTCAGCTGTTGGACACATCGTTGTTATGTGAAATTCTGCCAAGTCTTTCTTTGCGTATTCCAAAAGTAGAAGAGGAAGAAAATTTCAACTTTATCATCCAAAGCAAAGTCCAATCTACAAAATGGCACAATTATGTCGATAACGACGGCTCATGGGACCAAAGTAATATTTGTAGCATCCAGGTATACATCTCACAGACTCCCGCAAAGCAGCTGAAGATAAGCCAGATTATTTTTGCTGTGCTGATTCCATTGTTTGTACTGTTTGTGCCGCTTCCCTTTTTTCTACGGCGCGCAGATATTATCCAGGTGGCTTCACTTAGTATAGATGTTGTGGATTGTATTTGGTACCCACCGTACTTATTACGAAGGATTATCATCACTGGGACTATTCATTTTAAAGCAGCCCTGCAGACGGCTTGGCACCAGCGCAAACTGAGAAGCCATCAGAAGCGGCTTGAGTTGCAGCAGCGGGCTCTCTCAGAGCGGATGAATGCGGCCCTGGCAGGGGTCCAAAGTGGGACGTGCCGAAGAGATGCTCGACAACGGAAAGGCGTTGACATTCCCCTTGGCCTCCCGATACAACCTCAGCAGGAAGTGATCGCATCATTCCCATCGATTTTGGCAGCGCCAGAAGTAACAGCAACGGTGAATGGGATGTTTCCCAATGAAGGTGGAAAGAAGGATCCTCCCGTAGCTTTCGTGGATCAGACAATGCGGAAATCTGATGATGACTCGAGGGATATGCTGTCTAGCCCTATGACTACCGTCGAGCCGGCTACTACGGCTGTTGCCGTCAAGCCGATCTCTCATTTCACCACGGAGAAAGTCACGCCCTCGCGGCTTCAGTTGGAGTATGATGACGTAGCAGGGGCCGGTGACGATCGTCCTACCGCGGCTTCCCTCCGCAAGCGAGGCATTGTAGACGGCACCCCTGCTGAGCACGCATCCACGGTGTCCTGCACTAGTGGCGACAACGGCCCCACCAGTCAAGAGCTCCTCTTCCCCACTGGTCCATGCTCTGAAGGAGAAGGGGGAGATGTCGAAGAGGAAGGACGCTTCTGTCGCATATGCCGCGACGGTGAGGAAGACGAGGCCTTGGTGGCCCCCTGCAACTGCACCGGCTCTGTGCGCTGGGTGCATCTCTCGTGTCTCGACCACTGGCGGCTTGAGAGCATCAAGCGCAACATAAGTAACTACAACACATGTGAGATATGCAAGAGTCCCTTTAAGATAAAAGTTCGGCGCTCAATCCTTATATGGCAAAGCTGCAAAAGAATCGTGTACGCTATTATCTTGATTATCACATGCGCACTTTGTTTTATGATGATTCCATTGATCTCACACAGCATCTTTGGGGAGGCATCCTGCGTTGCTGAGTATCATCGTGTGCCCTACGCCACTATGTACCAATTTGATGGCATCATGCTATCACTTTTCGTGTATATCGAAATCGTTCTTTCGGTTATATTTGCACGCCTCATTGTTTACAGTTGGTTTCGGAGCAATCCAGAGGTGGAGACATATATTGCCGAGATACACGTCATCCCACGATTTATGACATGGCGCAATGTGCTAAAGATCGCCTTAGTGACTATCGTTATAATTGCCCAGGCTATTTCAATCGGGTATCTGGTAAAGTATTTCATGTATGTCACAAGCGACATCGCGTGGAACTGGGAGGCCTCTCCGTTGTTAGGAGGAATTGTCTTTGTTTTGTTTGCATTTTTAACGATAGGGGTGAGTGTCTCAATACGGGAGCATCGAATCCAAGCGCAAATCAGGCCTCAACAGGCTGCAGCGGGGGATCTTGTCGTGGAAAATGTGAATGCCAACAGCAGCCCTCGTGTGAGCCCAGAAGTTGAAGGCACAAGAGCTATGGAAACTAGGATAGACTTTGAGTTGAATTCAGCATCACTGGGTGAGGGGGCCACAAATGGGAATCAGGGTGGTAGTTCTAACCCGCCCCTGTAGGTTTCTTTGGACAAGTCTCTTAAATTGAAGCATCAACGAACATATCCTTATCAATCATGGCAGCTGATGAGAGTCAAGTACCTGTTCAGTAATTTTAAAACAGTACTTGGAGTATATTTAACAGAACATGATATAATGCAGAGGCTACTGCTGTGTGGCACATGTTGATATGTTTCTATACTCTTTAGACATAAAATTACTTTAATTGTTATTTTTTTAATGTGAGGTATACTAACAAGCTCATAAGCATTTATTTGTAATACAAGAGATTAAAAGTATATCATGTTTTGTTTTTCTGCATCATTTGGGAGATATCTGCGGATGGAAATGCCCACGGTGGACAGGTTTAGTGCTGTGTCTTAACTAACAAGTAGGTGTGCGTATATGGGCACATAAAAATAATATTGGCAGCGAGCAGTGGAACAAATAGAAAGGAAAGGCTATTCATGATATTTAAAGGAACGCGTGAAATTGAACAAAAACAAATTAAACAAACTTAATGGGAGCTATTTTTTTTATTCCTTTGTGCGTAACCTTTTTTTAATTATTTTTATTTATTTCACTTTTTCCTCTGACTCCTTCATCTATAAATGACCAGACTTACGACAATATATGTTTCTTTGTGCGTGCTCCTCTGCAACAAAGTTTTTCCGTACCAGTAAAAAATCACCACAGAGAATATGTTTAAGAAGACAATGAAAGTGCGTTTGGACTTTTTTTTGCTTATATTGGTAGATAAGTCACCCTTTAAAGCTTTTCTCCCACCTATTATGCTTTATATGTAATTTTTTTTGGCCGATTTCTATTGAATGCTTATAGTATCATTCTAACCTAAAGAATCTTTACAGATTCTTTAAACTCTCCTCTGCATATCTTATTCATGAAAGTACAGTCTTTAAGTCCTTTACACATTTATACCCTATTGTTTTTATCCCTCTACTATATCCCCTTTTCTCTTCCGCGGCAGATAAATAGTTGTATAATATCATAGTGCTTACTTTTCACCTGCTTGTCTGTTTCTATGCATGCATAACATTATCATCACAAGCGTTTTTTTTCTTAGTAAGAGGCATCTAGTTCGTGAAATCGGTAAGGAAGCAGGCATTCTACTGGAAAGGAGGTGATAAACTCATCTATTTGAAAAGAGTGTTACCGTGGAGGCGGTGTCCATTCAAAAACGCACAGGTCCTTTTCTCTGACCCTTTCCTCGCTATCCGCGCAGACCATTTTCAATGACCAACCACGGTTGGCAAAAGGGACAGTGGAGAGCAGAAAAAAGTCCTCATAGCAACCGAAAGTCTCTTCTCGAGGCGAATAAGGCTGACAAAATGGGCATTCACAACAGCTGGGCATCCCCACCGGAGTGCTTTAACGAACGAGGTCTCGGGCCTGACGCAGCGGCCTCACGTTCTCTAAAGTTTCTGAAGGATGATTTTCTATCTTCCCAAGTTGCTCCGTCGCGAGCGGAAAAGTTTCCCGTATCAAGCATGGATGCAAATTTGTACAAAAACTTTAGTCGTCGAAGTTTACGTGATGGAAAAAATAATGACCGACTCCCAAGCGTAAGGCCTGAGGTTCGGAGAAGGAGCAGCGATGCTGGCGGCTGTAGGAGCTCGACTTCTCGCAAGAGCGTGAGTTGTGAGCATACACCATTCAGGCTATGTTGCTCATCGTTGTCTTCCTTGACGCCCGTGCGTAGCGACCATTTGCCAGATTTAGTTTCTTCTCAGCAATTGCTTGAAAAGGCTGATTTATATTTGGGTAGAGATCGAGCAGAGTGCGCTGCGCTGTCCAATGATTCGCGGAGTCCCTTTTATCGCCAGTCTGATAAAGTGCTTTTGGGTTCTCATAATTCAAGACAGTCTAACAAAATCAACCGAAACTGCTCCACTTTTTCCTCTTCGGACTCCGATTTAAGGAGAAAACGAAAATCGAGTGGGTACATTCTGACCTCAAAACATACAAGATCGATGGATCAGAATCGGAGTAATCGGGAAGCTGAAGGGATTCATAATGAATATCGATATTTAACTCGTAAGAATTCCCTTTCAGTTATAACCAGCGAGGATCAAAGTTGTAATGAAGTAGTGTGGAGGACTAATCCCACTCTGAGAAAGTCTGCGGCGCGAGAAGCCCCTTCAGGAACTTACCTTCACAATAGGAACACCAACATACTGATCAAATTCCCGTATCATAGGAGAAAGCGGTGTGAATCACGTGCCTTGAGTGATAGGTCTAAAGCAAGCAGCAGGAGTGTGGTGTGGACACACCTTCCGAAATTGCTTCACAAACACCCTATAGCACCACACTTCAGGGTTCCAAAGTTTTCTCAATCAAAATCGGCCTCCAAACTGTCCTTATATGACGCTAAGCATACCAAATCCGTGAATGGGAATAGTGGAAGGAATGCTAATCGCATTCATAATAGAGTAAATTGCGGCAGTAGCCAAAAAAGCTTAGACACGAAATGGATAAATAACCTTCGTGGGGGATCTCCATATGAAGAGAATTCCAAACCCTATAGGGTGGGCAGCACAAGCAGCCGTACCTCGAGGTTTCTAGACGGCCCCCTAACCGACGACCTGAGGTCGGAAATTTCCTCACGTAGTCTGTGCACTACGGAGTCATCGAGTGTTGTTGTTAGAGGGCATAATAGTGTACCCGAACCACATATAGTAGCGAATAGGAAAGGAACGCCGACAATTGTGAACGCGAGTGGGGTACCCGCGAAAAGACTATCGAAAATAGGAACCGATACTTTTGGTCGGTATGACATCAAAAGGGTAAATTCTGATTTAGGAGGGAAATCTAAATACTCTTCTGGAAGTTGGAGTGGAGCCTCGACTAATGAAATGCTTACACTCGATCCGCTTACCCTTACGACAGGGCTTAATAGCTCTCGAACAAAAGCAAGAGGGAGAGAAGATAAAAATGTACAAAATATTGACAAGTACCCTGCAATCCCTCATACAAGCCAAGTAAGAGTTGAAAATATGGAGGACCTGCTTCCTTTAGAGCGAAGGGTGGCTGTGGCGGGGACATGTATAGAAACACGAAAACCCGCATTTTCACATAGAATTGTTAGAAACCGAAGTAGGTTTGAGGATAAGTCACAAATGACCCGCAACCCCAAAAAAACAAAAGTGAAGAAAAACGATCAGGCCTCTATTGAATTACTTCGCTCTATATATTTAGGTACACCAGGTACGCGAGTGCACCACCTGCCGTTGCGAAGTAAAACATATCTTCGAACCTCGGCATCACAGTTGAATCAAGGCCACACATGTAAGATCAAATCATATCTTCAACACTGTGGTGCGAATACTAAAGAAGGCAAGAAAGAAAACATAGGCAAGAAATCGAGGAGGTTTCAATCTTTAATTAAGTCCGAGGATCCTTTTAGTTATCTTATGGGGCTCCACGGGTTTTGGGGGGAAACAAATTATTACTAAATATATCATTGCAACTGTGAAACTATAAATGTATTATATGCAATCAGGAAGTAGTCTATTTTTACGTGATTTTGTCTGCTTATTTTATAATTTAGCTTACATGCTAAGTAAAATGACTCACTTATTCATGTTTTCTTGCTTTAATTTACAGTTATCGATTTTATTTAATCTAAATTG